TTGTCTTCGCTATAAATATTTCGCAGAAAAAAATTCGCAAATTTGGTTTCGCGATATTACCTTCGCTATAAATAATTTTCGCGATAAAGTTTCGCGAAAAAGTGTTTAACGATAAAAGTTTTGCTATATTGACCTGATACAATAATAACTCTATTTATGACAGTATAATATTTATCTAACAATAAACCAATATTTTTATCGCGCGATAATTTAAAAATATATAATTTTTTTATAATCGTTTATAAATTTTCTTTTCAAAATAGTATAAAAGAAATCCAAGCTAGAAAATAATGAAACTATGACAAGTTGCTTCCCTTGAGAGTTTGGGCACTTATACAATATCACTAACAAAATAATTAGATCTTATTTCTTATTGAATATAGACAAAAATATGCTTTACCAATTTTTTACATTTATAAATTTTTAAAAATAAATTTAATCATTATTCTGACCTATATCTTCACCCATTCTAACCACTTACTCTCCCTTTGTACCTGTTCTTCATCACCTTTAAATTATTTCTATAAATTATTATTATAAAAACAAAATTTATATGAAATATATATATATCTTTTAGTAAAATATATATAATAATTGGATTTATCTTAGCAAATATTTTTTAGATATAATTTTAATTGATCATATTACAAAAAAGTATAAGAGTCGTTTATTTTCATTTTATTTGTCATGATTCTCTAATAAGTGGTTGCCCAGGCCTTCCCAGTTTTCCTTAATACAGAATTTACATGTTTTTTTTCCATATTAGACTAATTAGTAAATCTGATAATTCCCCTTCATGTGATGAAATCAATTAAAAATTTAACTATCTCCGAGGTGGGAAAAAATTTTTAAAATTATATTGGATACGACTGGGCTTGGAACCTCAAAATTTATATTAGCTTGCACCTGACATGGGAATATCTTTAACAAATTATTAAGGGTTGAGCTGGGCTGGATAAACTTTTTAATAATTATATGCTTCCTAATATTTTGAGCTTGGATCTGGCATGACATCTATCGTAAAAAAATGAATAAAAATCTCATTCCCAGTTATTTTTGACGGGCTTTCTACTAGTATATATAATAATTGGATTTATCTTAGCAATTAGGAGTATTTCAATTTTAAATATAATCCTATATAACATAAAATGCATTCCAAATGTGTAAAGTAATGTCTTTAAACGGCACGATTCAGGTCGGTTTTTAAAAACGCCCCAAGATCCTAGATAAACTAATAAATATTATGTAAGCCTGGAGATTTTGATCATAGATGAACAGAAAAGTTTGGACCTATATTTGACAAATTTTGAGGCTTACATAATATTATTTTAGCTAAAACTTAATGGGACCTTTTTTAAAAATCAGCCCAAATCGGGCCGTTTAACAACAATAATGTAGAGTACCTACCTTATAAATTTCAGACAATTTTCGCCATAAACCGTTGTGTATTTTTTTTACAAAATATTCAGAAAAAAATTAATAAAAATTAAGAGTAGTTCCTTCATGGCATCGGTATTTGAAATTCACAGTGTGCATACTCTATAGATGCTTATTTTTCAGGTGGAATCATTTATAAAATTTATAAATAGTCTTCAGATAATGTCCGAATCCTCATGGATTCCATATATCAATACGATCATATATACTAAGATGACTAATATCATTAAGGTATATTTTGCTAATTTTCATTTGGCATAGCTATTGAGAAGGATAATTTACCCCCCCCCTCTCCCACACACAAACCACTTTCGTAAACAAAATTCAACAAGATTTTTATGAATTGAAAATGATCCATATTTCAAAAATATTTTATTCTGTTTTAAATTATGGTAAAATTAATTTAAATGATAAATTAAAAAATTTTCTTATGCATTGATGTTATTTCCCACTAAAATTTACATTTTAAACCTTATACACTGATGGAGATAATAAAATTTAACAACCAAAAACGAAAGTATTATAATTAGAAAAGTAAAACTAGAGAAGTAAAACTAGAGAAGAAAAACTAGAGATGTAAAACTAGAGAAGTAAAACTAGAGAAGTAAAACTAGAGAAGTAAAACTAGAAAGGTAAAACTAGAAAAGTAAAACAATTTAATATAAAAGATATATAATCAAATCCTATAAAAGTTATACCAGTTATATTAACTGATTTATTATTACAATCGAATGTACCTTAATGATTGCAAAAAAAGTATTGAACAAAATGAAGGATATAATGAGATAGACAAGAAAAAAATTAGGATTAAAAAGTATAAGATAATATTGATCAAAAATTTAATGAGATATAAAAGATTGTTGAGGCAAAATCGAAGCTATATAATTTTGAGATTCGTAAAAGTCTAGACATGCACCAAATATATCGTTCCTATATAAAATAACCGTCTTTATACTACTTTTAGTTACATGCCCAAATCAATGAATGATTTGTGATTCATCATATGACTATCCAATTTAATATTATTATCGCAACTGGATATTAAAAAAATCAAATATCTGGTCTTTATTCCGAGGATAAAAAAGTGTCAGAGTGCAAATTAATTTAATAATTTAAATTTTGGTATGAAAGATTAATTACAGCAGATAATCTTACAAGAAACGGCATGGAAACATTGCATACTTTAGATTTTTTTTAGTAAGAACAAACACAAATGAAAATTTTTTTTCTTCATTACGGAGAATAAAAGTCTAACGAAGTACGACATCAGAAAATCATAGAGATTTAATCCCCAGTAGAGGATAACTTTTTGAAAAGTTGGCTCAATCGCAAAGAAGATTGAATTGCCATTTATGAGTGATATTATTATAATTATTTTTAATCATTATGTAATATTTATTTCGATGATATTTTATTGTGATTTCTTATCGCTTTATATATAATATATTTTATAACAATACTCCATATAATTTATATTGGTATTAACTGATATATTTTTCGATATTTTATTATTTATGCTGAAAATTTTTTAAATATGTTTAACCCTAATAATTTTATGTTTCAAAAAAATGTTTCGATATTAAAATAATTATACACCCCCCCCCCCCTCCTCCCAGAAAATTTCTATTTACGCGTTCCACCTAATGGCGCCCCTACCCACTTCGGCGCACTAGTCTAGTTAAGCGTAATACTCTAGTGATTAGCTACCGAACATGGGGATTGATAGACAAAAATAATTAATCGATATCATATGGTTTGAAGAGAATGATTGCTGGGGATTATAAAATAGGATGAGGATGTTTAAATTGGATGCTTATGTAATGTTGTTATCGGATAAATTATGATTAATATTATTTGCATAAATTTTTTATTAGATTGAAATAAAGAATTACATAATCCAAGTTAAATATATTTACAAATTGACGACGTTATGGGATTAATCTGATCAAATGAAATATATTAATGAATCGTATTGAAGTATGAACTATTTTTTATATGTGATATTATGCTGAGCAATATGAATATATTGGATATTTCATGAAATCAAATTTGTGATAAAGTTATAATGAATTGAATTTTGGATTGTGGGTAATAATTTGGGATTTTATTGATTAAGGAAAATATTTATCAAATATGAGGAGTTATCTGGCATGAACAAAGTGGTAAATGGATTTAAATATGATTTTAAAATGATTGATAATTTGTGATAATTAATTTAGATATGATAGGAAATTAATTTTGGGAAATTGCTGACTCAGTAAAAATGAAATATTATGGAAAATTATATTGCGAAAACATGAATAATTATGATAGTGACATTTACAGTAATTTGGCTAATGGATTATGTTTATGGATCTATGGTAATTTAGACATTGGGAAGAAGGTTACTGATAAGAGACCCGAACTAATTTGGATATTAGAAAAATGGTTACTGATAAGAGTACCTTGCATTCAGAGATTGGGGAAATAATTACTGATAAAAGAAACTGGCCAAATAGACGTAATTTAAAAAAATCACGATGGGACTCTGGGCTATATAAGCCATAGTCACCATAGAGATTGAATATGAGGATGAGTGGGCTATGAGGATAGTTCCGAATCTATTGTTCATCGAAGATAATCGGGGGTAGTTTCCCAAATTCGTTGAAAGGCTATAGTCCATCGATGAGGCCCATTGGCAAGGGAAAGTTATGATGACTACTCAGTCAATGATAATAAAGAGTAGTAGCGGGATTAAAAGAAAAAGAGGGGGTGTACAGTGACTCATGATGGTTCCATCGATAACGGATTGTTTAAGAACCGTTAAACGTTTAACGCCTGTGGACTGCCCACGTTGGTACGATTGGCGACACTGACAATGTGGTTCCGCCGATAACGGATTGGTCAGGACCGTTCAACGTTTAAAGCCTTGTGGACTGTCCACGTGCAGAATTGGTTATTGACAGCGATGACGTCCAAGCGAAATAGAAATCTTAAGGACCATTCAAAGTTTAACACCATAGGGCCATCCAAGGTTTGAGACTGCAAGAGGATATTTTAGGAATAAAGGAGGGGGGGGGGGAGAGATGCAATAATTAGATACCGAACACAGGGATTGGCTGACAATAATAATTTAATATCATGTGATTTTGGAGATGGAGGAAAGATCGAGAATGTTTGCTGAGGATTATGAAATGAAATGAGGTTGTTAAATTGGATGTTTATGATTGCATTATAATGTTGTTATAGGATTAATTATAAAATGGCCCCTAACTAGAAAAAGTTTATCTAAATCTAAGCTGATTAAAAGTTATTTGAAATCGTCTATGAGCCAATTATCCCATTGAAAATCATTTATATTGAAGAGGCAATTTTTAAAAAGGGATTTTAGAAAATTAAATACACCCCCCCCCCCTCCATGTGAATACAGGTATTCCCTTGGTTCCGCCAATCAACATCGCAGCTAATGGTTATATATTTTTTATAGTTTGTGATTATATATGACAGATGTTTCATTGATAGAAAAAATATTACGTAAAAGTTGACGGATGTCATTAATCACATTTTAAATCTCCAATAAGTTCATCGATAACACGTGTGTTTTATTTTAAAAATAATGTATGTAAATTTGTTTTCATTATTCTTTTTCCTTTTATTTAATAATGTATATTGTGATACCAAAGGTTCTATTGGGTTAGATGAGTTAACATTTGATAAAGTAAAATTTATAAAATTAATTATAATTAGGTATAAGTATTAGCATTTGGGCAAATTTAAATATGCCATAGTTAAAATTGATACAATGTATCCATATGGAGAGAAACAAGATGAATTTGAGAAATTGGCCGAATCTTGCCATTCTGCTTCAGATTTAATGGTAGCACATGTGGGTGTTGCAGGTAGATATTGTTTTTTTAGGTATTCACTAAAAAATTTGTATTTTTTAGATTATGGGAAAAATGAAAATAAAAACTTAGCAGACCATTATGGAGTGACAAAAGAAAAATTCCCAACATATATATTATTTACTGATTACATGAAAAATTATAAAAAATATGATGGTATATCCTACAAATCTGATGATATCAAAGGCTTTATTATAAAAAATACTAGTAAATTTTTAATAGCACCTTACAAATTTAATAAATGTGAACATAGAAATATGGCTTGGACTCTCAGGATGTTTAGAAGATTTTGATAAATTGGCCAAAGAGTTTATAGATGCATCTGATAAAAATATAATAAAATTAAAAGCTGAAAAGGCAACAGAAAATCTCAAAAGTTTGTATTCATTGACAAATCTAATTATTTTATGAATTTAATAAAAAAAAATTTAACCAGTGATGCCCTATATCACCTTTTTAGCCAATACTACTGATATATGATATAAGCTAATCCCATTACAACCTATACTTGATACTAGGCCTATTTATAAAATTTAAATCAAATAGTTCATTATTCATATTCGATTTGTTTAAATGTAACAAATAATTTTCTATTCACATATGTATGAATAATTAAATCTAATATTTGTATTCTTTTCGAATAATTGAAATGAATTTTATTGATAAAATAAATCATACTTAAATATATTAACATTTTTTTGTTGTAAATATGATTTTAAGAAAAAATTATTATAATAATCTGATGATAAAAAATATGTAATTAAGTTATAAACAAAATTAAAATGTATATTATTAATTTAATTTATAATTCTAAGCCAATTTTTAAGGCAAAAAGTTTTTCTTATATTTTTTTCCTTATATAACATACGATTTTTTGCAAGAAATTAGTTCCAACTGAAAAAGGCCCTTTACAAACAGTTGATGTTCTTTGTATAGATAGGTAATCCCTAGATGTGAATTAGGGCTATGCCAATCCACATATTTTTCACCGATTTGATCCGATATTATCTGATATTGGTTCAAACCTGATACCGATCCGATTTATATTGATTTTTACCACCCCCTTTGAACCAAATGTAATTAAGAAATCAATATTTTTATGCAGAAAATCGAATGCATTTAATTTAATTTTTTTAAATTTAACAATAATTTTAAAAAAGTTTACGGATATTGATAGTATTAAATTAATTTTTCATTTTTCTTCCCCTTGAAATTAGAATTTAGCAGAAAACGCATTTTGCAAAATTATCTTTGTCTTTTGTAAAATAATTCCATAATTAAGATACCCTATTTAAAAAATTCTTTTATTTTAAGTATAAATAATAAAATTAGCGTTATTTAAAAATATTTAAAATAGATATAAAACTTTGGGTGTTCCTTTCTATTTTTATAAAAAAACTTTTAAAATACTATAAATCTATTTTAAAAAAATAAATAAAATTTAAGGGGTGTTGTGCATTTGCGTTGTTTAAAAAAAATTATTTGGAAAATATTATTAATGTAAAATAAATATACATAAAATAACAAAAAAAAGAAAAGTAAAAAGATCTGATCAGACAGATTTTTTACAGGTATCGGCCTGATCCGATATTTTTGGAAAACACTAAATATCGGTGCCGATCCGATCCTTTATTTAATATCGGTACAGCCTTAGTGTGAATGAAACCTATCATAATGATTAATAAGAGATGTTGTTTTGCCTTTACATTTTATAATGCTCTTGCAATGATTGCAAGCAGCCTTTTCACCATCTTTATTGATTGATCCCATATAATCGCTCTTTTTGTGAGGGAATTTTGTCAACTTCAGCATCAAGCATAACTATTTCATCAGAAGCATTCTCCTCTAACATAATTAGAGCTAAAAAAAATTATTGTAGATGTATTATATTATTATAAACCTTTGGTTTGTGTAATTTTTAAATATAATTTATTATGAGATTCAAAAAAATAAACTTCTCGTGAGATTCAAAAAATATGGCTATTAAAAATTTAAATATTGCTTTAATTTTCACTTCAGATATTTTTAAATTTGTGCTAGTCTTTTTATAAACACATCACCTGTCAGATTGGCAGATCATCAAATAGAAATGACAAATGTTAGATTTATTTTCGAATGATTGTTTTATACGAAACAGAATAAATGATTTATATTCAGATAAAATAAACATTTTATTATTCGTTCTTTCGATTTTTTTTGAATAGGCTACCTGATACTAAAATAATTTTTATTATTTGTATTGTTAACCCTGAATTACTTAAATAGGTACAGTTATGTTAATACTTAACTTTGTAAAAGTCAAGCACTAATTACCTTGTCGCATTGATCTCACTACTGTGGTTATGGTTCAGAAGGGGATAGATAGTTTGAAAATTGTATAGGAAAGGCTTTCTTGTTACAATTATAGATTACCTAAAAATTAGTATGAATTATAAAAGATAAATTATTCAAAAAGCAATAATAACCCCTTAATTTTTAAACTATAAATTATTTTATTTAATCAATTTTTTTAACACATCTTTAAATAAGTAAAATGTGCAAATATCTCAATTTGATTTTTAAGCATTCTGGGGTTAATTTTATTTGAAAATGATATATGATTTTTTTCCTACCCCCCCCCCCCCCCACCTTAATATTTTTTGATTATTTTTTTAAGACATAAAAATGCCTTTATCATTTTGAAACTTGCAAATTATTTCCTGGTATGTTTATTCTTTGTAATAAAGTTAATTTTGCAACTACGATCAAACCTGTCTAATTTGAACACCGTTGGGACCAAGATTTTTTCCACAGTTGTCTAACTTATTGAGACTTTTTCCTTTTTAAAAAAATATTTTAATCTGTTATATTCTTAGCTTAGCAAAAAATGAGATTTTGTTCAACAATTTTTAAATAATTTTTTTATTTTTATTAATTCATCAAAATGATGGGTTAAGTTATGTATCTATACATAAACTTATACAAAATAATGTATAAAACTATTATAAAATGGTTGTATGGTAAATAAGAATTAAAGTTAATTTAAGATATAAAATAAGATGTTATTTATTGGTTTTGGTGCAATTTGTTTTTTTTTTGAATATATGAATACTGTGAACAGTTCCTTTAAAAATATTAAATCTTTTAGCACATTCTCTTTGAGCATCATTTAGGAAATTTAATAACCTACATTTTTAACTAACGATAACTTATTTTTAAACGTTTAATATTTTGTTTATTCATGAATTACGTTGCCTTTTTTTTGCCCAGAAATAAGTCCAAGAAACTCGAAATTAATTGCATTATGCTAATTTGATTAATTATGCCTTGCTGATCAAATTAATCGGCACTAGTGTTCTTTATATTGCTGGAAAAAAAAATCAAAACTTTTTAATTTTAAAATTATTTTTTAATTGTAAATTAATTTTTGTTATAAAATATTCAGTCTATGAACTTTAAACATAATTATTGACTAAAAATACGATAAATTTTAATTGGTTATTTTTAGTAACCAGATAAAATAGACATTGAAAATTAATAAAAACTTTAAATTTTCTTTTTTGAAATTACAATTTCTAGCCCTGCTTTTGAATTTTGAAAATATCTCTTATTTTGTTATTAAGTCAGCAATATGATATTATTTAGTGAAAATCAACCGGACCACTTTAGACCGCTCCACAATCTGATTTTAAAAAAATAGGGAACGGCTGATCGATTTTTAGAATCAAATGGAATCTAGTTAACTTATATACCAAAATAGCCGTCTGAACTAGTCCTGGTTGGGTTGATTACTAATAAATATTATATCAAAATAGCGGGATATCGATCTTGACTTGTATCTTCTTCCTCCCTCTCCTTTAGACTCATTTCATCGTTATTTTTTATTACATCCTTTTGTTTACTATCTCTTTGTTTACTGTCTCTTTTACTATCTCTTCGGTTTTCTCTTCTACTTCAGTTCTCTCTTCTAATTCGTATTCTTCAATTAATATATTTCAGTTCTTTTCCTTAATTGATCCGTATGACGTTTAATCGTATTATCCGCTATACTTTATAACGTTGTGATCCGAGTATGCCTTTAATAATGGCTTCTTTCCATTTTTTTTCTTTATTATTGTAAAGGGCGACCAAACTTTTTCATTTATTTGGAATTATTGATTGTGGTATTCTAACTTCTCCTTTTTGTTTTCCCGTTCAAATATTTGATCTAACAATCTTATAGGTTTAAATTATAGTAGTATTTCAGCGGGAATTTGTGCAGTTTCTGTCTCTATTTCTGTATGAGGATGGTAAAGACTTCCGTGCACTAATTGAATCCCGTTTTTTTCACAAAATTCATTAAAATCTTTGCTGCTGAATTGGGGTCCGTTGTCAGAAACGATTAGCTTGGGAAATCCGAATCTTGCAAAAATATTTTTTAATATTTTTAACGTGCTTTCGGTTGTAGTGCTAGTTATGGGAACTATTTCTGGCCAGCGACTGCTAGCATCTATCACTACAAACCAATAATGATTTTGAAAAGTCCAGCGTAATCAATATGTACTCGGTGCCATGCTTTTGGTGGTTTTGGCCAATTTTGAATTGCTGTCTTTTGAGGCATATCGTGTTGTCCCTGGCATTCTCTACATTTTTTGACCCATGTTTCTATATCTTGGTTTATATTAGGCCACCACGCGTATTGTCGTGCTCTCATCTTCATTTTTACCATTCCGATATGTCCTTGATGCATCATGTCCAACACGTTGTTTCGGTATTGTTGTGGTATTATCATTCTAGTTCTCCATAATAAACAATCTCTCTGTTGTAATTTTCTCTCTTCTTTGGCTATACTCCTTTAAACACGCATCATAGTTTATTGGCTATTCATCTATTGTATATCTGTATTTAGAAAGCATATCATCTCGCATTGTTTCTCTTTCAATTTCTCTTGCATTTAAAGGGGTTTCTCCCATATCTAGCGTTTCTTCTTTTGATATTGGAGTTCCCTTTATAGGTTATCTAGATAGCATGTCAGCATTTGCTATTTCTACTACTTTTGACTTCTATTTCATATTGGTAACCGGCTAATAATAAAGCCCATCTTTGTATTCTGGCAGTAGATGTTGTTGGTATATCTTTTCTTGGATGAAATAAACTCATTAATGGCTTGTGGTCTGTTTGTAATGTGAACTTTTTTCCATATATAAATTCTTTGAATTTTGTAACCCCAAATATGAGATCAAGAGCTTCTCTTTCTATTTGGCTATAATTTTTTTTCAGCTGCATTTAGCGTTCTCGAGGCGAATGCAATTGGTCTCTCCTTACCCCCTTCTATATGTGATATTACTGCCCCAATTCCTATGGCTGATGCATCTGTTGCTAATATAATGGGTAATTTTGGATCATAATGTAATATTGGAGTACTAGTATTTCTTGCTTTATTTTTTTATATGCGTATTTGCATTCATTAGTCCATCTCTAAACAACTGCCTTTTCTAATAATTTGTATAATGGTTTGGCTTTGGCTGCAAAATTTGAAATAAATTCTGAATAATATGTTGCTGACCCTAGAAATGACTGTATTTCAAATTTGTTGGTTCTGGCGCCTTTTTTTACTGCCTCAGTATTTTTTCCGGTAGTTGTAATTCCGTTTTTTGAAATATTGTGTCCTAAGTATTCGACATTTTGTTTGAAAAATTTACATTTTTCTATTTTTAGCTGGATTCCATTTACATCTAGACATTTTATTACCTTTTTTAAATTTGTTTCGTGTTTCTCTCTATTTTTCCCGGTTATTATAATATCATCTAAATATCAAGCTACTCCTTCAAATACCTTTGATAAATTCTAGATGACTCGTTGAAATATTGCTGGAAAAGACGATATACCAAAAGGTAGTCTTGTATATTTAAATAATCCTCTATGCGTATTGATTACAAGATATTTTTGAGACTCTCCCCCCACTTTAATTTGAAAATAGGCATCTGAGAGATCAAATATTGAAAATTCCTCTCCTTTTCCCAAATTTGCTAATAAATTTTGGATTCTTGGTATTGGATATGAATCAATATTTATATTTTGATTTATAGTTTTTTTTTAAATCCCCGCAAATTCTTAATGTTTTATCTTTCTTTTGAACAATTACTATGGGTGATGCATAAAGTGAATGATTAATTTTCTCTAGTACTCCTATTTTTTGCAATTTATCTAAATCTTCTTCAACTTTATTTTTTAATGCGTATGGACGTGATTTACAGAAAATTGGTTTATCGTTTTTCATTGTGCCTTAAAATCTTTCAAGCAGCCTAATTCTTTGGTAAATAATTGAGGAAATTCATTTTATATATTAATATTATTTATTTGTATGGTCCTTTCAGGTAATTCAGTCATTTTGGGGAATTTAGTTATCCAATTTTTTCCAATTAGATTTTTGGTATATCCTTTTGTAATTATGAGAGGTAGTTCTAATGTTCGCCCTTTATATTATACTTTTTTTTACTACAGTCTTCCCTAATAGTGGTATATTGGTTCCTGTATAGCTTTTAAGTTTTAGCATGCAATATGTTATTCAGGACGATTAATTTTATTTTTCCAATCTATTTCGTTAATACCCCAGCTCCAGTATCTAATTCCATTTTGATATCGCTGTTGTTTATTTTGACATCCATCCAAAATTCTGGATTATATTCGTTTGTTTTATTATATTAATAAAATTCACTATTTCTTTTCTACAGACTCGAGCAATGTGCCCAATTTTGTTGTATTTATAACAAGTGGCATTCTTGAAAAGACAATTTTCCCTTCTGTGGTTTCCGCCGCAGGAGTGGCATGGATTTGGTTTTTTAGCTCACATTATAATTATTATATGATTTTGATTGTTTATTACTTTTTTAATTTTATTTATATTATCATCATGTTCCTCTTCTAAATGATCGATTTTAGGTTCATCATTTTGTATTAATTTTGTATTTTTATTGCTGTTTCTACTGCAGTAACTATCCGAATAGCTTTATTTATGTCTATATCGTCTTCGGATAGTGATCTTTGTAAAATTTTTGGATTTTTTATTCCGAATATAAATTTATCTCTTAATGCAGTATTTAAATATTCCCCAAAATCACAAGTCGTTGCTAATTTTCGTAGATTTTGTATATAGTCTATTAGTTTTTAATCATTTTGTTGATTATATTGATAAAAATTATAGCTCTCTACTATTATATTAGGTTTGGGATGAAAATGTTTGATTAAAATATTATGTATTTCTAATACCTCTTTGTTTCCCGGACTATCAGGTGCACATAAATTTATCAGTATTTTGTAAGTATCACACCCTATTGTTGTTAATAACAGAGATTTTTCTTGTGATGATGTTAAACTTGGTTGTGTATTTTTAAATTCTTGAAATAAGTTGTACCAATCTTTGTAATACAGGTTTGAATCCGTTAGACTTTTTATAGATTGCGCCATTTTTGTAATGTATTTTTAGTAGTAATAAAATATCGAAATCTTTTGTAATGTATTTTTAATAGTCATAGAATTCTTTCATTTTTTTATTTAGTATTCAAAATAAAAATCATAATTTATTATTCAAATTCATATCAAATTATACAATAATAAAAATAAACATTTTACAAAAAACAACAATTTAATACATATCATTAATTTTTATTATCAAAATCTAAAATTTCATTAGGTCCCAATGATATTTCATCCGCTAAATATTACTTAAAAGTTATGGACAAAGGAATCAAGAAGGGAATTCAGTTTTTTACCGACGAATACCAGCGTTTAAAGGCCATTCTCAACAAAGATCTTAATATGCCGGAAGAAAAGAGGGAAGAGTTCAAGAAGAAGATGAACATATTGAAAGTTTTTTTGTTTAAAGATGAATTATAAATTTCCAGTTCTACCTCTACTTTAAAAAATCTTAGTTATTTTGATATTAGAATATATATTTCTCTTGTAGAGTTAATATTGGTTAGATGTGATATAATTTTTATAACTTATATTTTTTTAAATTAATATTTTTGATTCCAAAATTAATTTGTATTTATTATTATAAAATTATTTATAATGCATCCAGTTATGTATTTATGAAATACTTTAAATGTAAATATCTTTAATTTTATATAATAAAAAGAAAGAGTAATGATATGATCAATTTAAGTAGTAATGTTCAATATGGTGATTAATAATGTTTGTTTCTTAACCGAGTTTGAAACTAGAACTTGCAACTCTCGGAAAAATGTATGAACGGGTACCAGAACCTACTTTTTAAGAACCAGAACCAATTTTTTTAAAAAATTTAGAACCAGAACTCTTTCTAGTCCATGTTCCAAACACTATTTAAAATATTTTAATTTAAAAAACTAGGCCGTTTAATATATTTTGGCACTAAAAGGATATTTGGTTTTGGTTTGTAGCCATGGGCTCCAAAATCATTTTCGAGGGGTTTGCCCAACTATCGTACATTCCTAGTTTACTCCTGTTAATGTCCATGATATTTTTGGATATATAAAGTTTATTTTGATTAAATTTGGCATATTGTTTTATCTTGAATTTTTTAAAAGTCAAGTTTTCTGTAAAATTTAAATCCCTGGAAAAAAATTCTACGTCTTTCCTCATATGGCTGATAAATTTTTTAAATACTCTCCTATAATGATGGAAAACACTACAATCCTCACCCAATGATTATATAATATTAATTATTTTCTTGTAAAAAGTTGCCTACCTAAGTCCAAAATTATCAAACTTATTAATATTATATAATGCCAAGGTATAGAAACACTAAACATAATTATCAAAATTTATCTTTTACAAATCCTTGACATTTTGCTACAAATACCTTTTGAATATTATTTAAACTTATTTTAGCATTTAGTGAAAATTATTTAGTGGCCTTTCCTAAGCTTAAAAATTTAAATTATAATATTAAATTTTTTCATCTGTTTATTTGTTCCTATATTTGAAACACCAACGAACAATACAAATCATATAAGAATTTTTTTTAATCTTTATTTTAAAATATTAAATAGATTACAATAAGATAAATTTTTAATTATAAATATTAAAAATATACATATTATATCTAAAAATATTTAAAGAAAAAAACAATATTTAAAAGGAAAACTATTTAAAAATATATATTTTGTCGGATTTTACAGCCTAATCGAAGATGGACATAAATTCTAAGAAGTAAAAAGCCTAAGTTAGAACTAGGTATTGTTTTTAACTATTCGTTAGGTGGCTTCTGGCTGAGACTGGAGTTATTTGATTAGCCAAAAGAGACCTATTTTTGCCAATCTTTTAACTCATGGTTCAGTTTAGTTGAAGAATGAGCGATGAGGATTATTTTTGAACAGCTTTCGAGTGTAAGTATTCGATGGAATACTGTATCAATGTTAAATTCCAGTATCTTTGCCTTGACTGCTTGGGGCTTTTTGCCCCAAAGGTTAAAGCTGCTGTATGATGTAAATCGATAGTATTCAAGTCTCCAAGTGTGTAAGGAAATTTGGCGTCTGAAAATAAAACTCTGAAACGTTTAAGGATATGGGGAACTAGAGACCTATACCACCATGAATTTATCATTAAAATATTTTAAAAGAAAAACTAATTTTCAAGCTTTAACTAACCTATGGCAAAAGAGGAAGACGTTCTTTCTACAGAAGCTGCTACACCCAAAAGTTGATTTAAGACTAGGATTATTTCTGTATTGCCAGTAAAAATATATTTTAGGATCTCCAAACTATTCTGAATTGGTTTGGAGTCTAATTATTAATAACAAATCCAGCATTCATTGTTCATAATGATTTTTTTGCAATATCCAATGATTTTATGATTTAAATTAGCATCTTTAATATATTTTTTTTGGTAAATTATTTTGTCAATATTTTTTATAGAATATTTAATATTTATTTTACACTTTTTATCAGTAAAAATAGATTTAGCAATTAATACGGGAAGTGTATCTATGAGTTAAAATATTTTTTAAATCAGGATTTATAATATGCTTCATGCATTATTCGCAACTAAGCTTGTAACCGGGAAATTAAATTCTTTTTATTTTATATAATGTTCATTGAGATGTATCTTTTCAATAATGTGCTATAAAAGTTCATCCAAAATTTGTACGTTTAAAGCTTTGCTCATATAAAATCCAACTCTTTTAGAAAAAATTCGGATTTCCAACTTTATAAAAAAATCAATGATATAAATACTACACTCTGTATAATTCACACATTTATTGTACCGAATAAACAAATTTTAACAGTAATTCTTTACAATGTTCAAATAATATTATTTATTCGATTTTAGAAACGTAAATAATTGTAAATCTAGCTTTTCATAAAAATAGAAGATATTCGATATCATTTACCTCACATTATTTAATGTTTAAAAAAATATAAGTTTATGTAAATACGAGTTATATAATATTTTTGTTACTGAAAAGTGTCACGATGATAGTAATACTAGGCTTAATATAATATAATCAGGTTGAAATTCGACACAATAAATTGAAGGGTTCATACCTTTACTTCCAGATTGGCAAATGATCTTAATCGACCCTTCGAAATCATAAAATTCCAATAAACATATAAAAATCAATTCCACACCATTTTGCATTTTAAATATAAATCAATAAAATGTTTATAACTTTATATAATTAAAATCTTATAATATATAATTATTTAATATTGGCAAGTTACATATAATAAATATACTCTGTTAACAAAAAATAAATTGCTCAAAAATAGTATATTCAATTTTAAATCACACAAGTTACAATTTATGATAAGATCAAAACTATATGATAGCAAATTAATCTTTTTATTAGTTTCTTCATTCAAAATTACATTTTTTCCATTTCAACACAATAATTATCATCGACTTGGTTTTGATTAGAGACATCCTTAACTATAATCAAGTGATTGTTACTGCTGTTTTTAAGGTTGGTTGTTATTTTCTTTAACTTTTGATTCGGATCATCCAAAGAACAAGCTATATTAATTTGAGTAAAAGAGGGAGAAGCCACTAAATTGTTGGATAATTTCCCCATATCACCACTCGTTTTATTCTTCATTATCGAAACCAGTTCGTTCATTAAAGATTGTTGCATTATTTTCGCTTGAGAAGCTAAATTTTAAATTAGTTGAACAAGTGTCATAATAAGTCATATATTTTTATAAATACTAAAAGAATATTTTGACAGCCCATAAGATTCTTATTAATTAAATTACTATTAAATCTAACCATACGTGCTCTAAAATTTAATATTTTATAATGTATTATGCGAAATTTGAAATTTTGAGAAATAATAGCACATTCATGGTAGTAAATATATTAATAAATTACTATTCAAAGAGGGACTCGATCTGACAGAATTTATATTGCTATCGTTGATATCACTTGTGATTGATATGGTTGGAGAGATGGGTCCAATCACTGGAATATCTTCTTTAAGTTTTTGTTTATTTTCAGTAGCGTATATACTTATCTTATTGTTGCAATCGACTTTCCTCAACTGTTCTTTCTTGTGTTTAAGTAGCAAAGGTAATTGATCTTCGTAATCTGAGTTTCTAGCTTGATTAGTTACTACAGTTGTATTTACTTTATGTTTAATACTATTGCCACTATTCAGTATAGGAGCATCAACATTTTCATTTTTATTGACGGGGTTATTTTTAATACCATTGATTATATCACTTATCGCGCTATTATTAACATTGCCATTAAAAACTAAATGGTTTTTTTCTTTATATTCGGTGTTGATGTTGGCCTTGAGAGAACATAATTTTGGCATGGACTCATGGTCTATTCGCTTTTGGTATCTCCGAATGTTTAGGTTATTATTATACGTCGGACTGCTATTATTAGCATCAGTTTTACAATTGTTGTTATCACTCATTGAAAAGTTAAATTTTTGTGAGGGGCTAAGAAAAACTCTGGAAACTTCTAGTTGGGTAGATGTGTTTGACTTAACATCTTTAGATGGGAAACGAACGTTTGGAGAATGTTGAGATGGCGAGATGAGTCTGGTTGCCATAACTGAGTTGTTTTCTAACTTGGTTATTTTTGGAGAATCCATTCTAAATTTCGTATTTATGGAAAGAGGTATGGTTTCTATCTCTTCCTTCAATGTGTCTGACTGAGATGTCAGGTTAGAATTATGAAAATTAAAATTGTAGACACTATTAATATCAATAGCCTTTTTCTTGATTATGGAATTCAAAGAACATTTTTCGCCTTTGAACATACTAGGTTTCAATAGGTTAGGAGTAATTATTGTAGCAGAACCAATTTCTTCCTTTTCTAAAATATCTACAAATATACAATAATACAGATTTTATGAATTAGAATTTTACTTGGTATTTCCTCTTGGGAATCAGCACAACTCAATTTAAGATTGCTTTGCATTCTAACATTACTAATTTGATCGTTAATCCCATTTTGCCTATGTTTTTTGTCCAAATGCTCGAGATTAAGACACATATTTACATTTAGATCATCGCCAACATCGTTTTCTAAATTATCCAATTTGTTGGGTGACATAATTTCGTTTATATTGTATTTATTAGGCGACATCATCTTATTTTGGATGTTTTGGGAATATCCTTTGCTTAGATAATTTAAGGTTTCTTTAAAAAAAGTGGATGAAAAGTTTAGAATCATGATAAATTTAGCATTCTAAAATAATTATGGTTTAATACTTTTAAATAAATCATATTTACTATGTTCAATTAGGCCTTCGAATGTACCGCCAAATCTTCTATAATCATTTATTTTTCCTTCTTCAATTTTTTTCGAAAATGTATTCTTTACTTCAGATTTTTTTTCCCTTGGGTTATCTGTATATAAAGGAAATATTGTTTACAAATATAAAAATCCAGAGATAAATTCATTTTATCCCATGGCTGAGGGCGCGACTGAAACATAAAAAATACAAAGAAAGATGGTTCTCAGTTATTCAGAGATTTAACAATAGAAAATAATCTTATAATTAACTACATAAATTTGTTTATTTGCTATCAATACTTTACATAAAAGAAATTAGCGATCTGTATAGGGCCTACGTTTTCAATCCCAGCCCGGCTCAAAATTTTTTTTTAAAAAAATTGCTCGGCCCGATCCCGAACAAATTTATTTATATCCCGAAAAGTCCGACCCCAAATAAAAATTATTAGTCCACTCAGTCCCAATTTAAATATAGAAAAATTTAAAATTTTTTTAATTTAAAAAAAAATATTATACAAATAACAAATATTGGCGCCTTGTTTCTTGAAAGAATTTTAAACTATATCAATTTATTTCACAAAGTTGAGTAATATCATATTTAAGAATTTAAGTCCGATCGGGCCAAACAGATATTATTTTTTAAATAGACCCGGTCCGGATTTGCAGATTTCTAAAAGATATGATTTAATTTTTATGCTATACAATAAAAGAAAACCTATGAGGATGAATGGCCACAATAAAATGGGAAGTATTTTATAGATTATTATAAAAAATTTTGATCCTTTCATTAAAATTATATAAGTTTTAAAAAATTCATAAAAGTCAGAAAACTTTTGAAATTAAAATTTTTTAAAAAATACCTTTAAATATTAAGCGAAAATTATCGTTTGAAATATATATGTTGTATTCCATATTAAATCAACCAAAAAAAGTCGATTCTCAACCCGACCCCCTTCGATTTTTTAAAAAATTTGTATGATGGTAGTATATACACTAACTAGTAAAAATATAAAATTTTAATTCTCAACTCAGCTTACTTTATGAGATATGGCCATCTTTAGAAACGCGGAAATTCCAAAATACACTATATTTAATTTTAAATATCTCAAAAAGTAATTAAGCTAAAGACATGATTTAAATTATTAAATAGTTCTAAAATAGCTCTTTAATATGACATAAAAAAATTTTTTGTGAAAAAAAGTATATTACCAAAAACCGGAAATGGCTATAAAATAAACATTGCTCTTTTTTTTCTTTTAAATTTTTTTTACAGATAGACATTATACTTCTTAATATTTGTACAAAATCCTAGATTGGGACGAGTATTGGGCCAAAAATTATTACACTTTAAATATAAGTAGTATGGCTTAAATCCTATATTATACTAAATGTATAGTAATTTAGGAAACAAATAAGAAAATTTGTTTGGGATCGGGCCGGATATATTTTTTTATAAATCTTTCTGGCCGTGTTAGAAAAATTAGGCCCTATGCAGATCACTAGTAGACATTGTGTCATATTTAGCACATAAGTTTTGCTATTTTATTTTAGAAGGAAAATAATTGTAAAAATATGTATAACTTTATTTAGCTAATTAATGGGAAATTAATATTTTAATAAACATATTAACGTTTGGCCATTAAAAATATATTTTCAAGATTGATTTCCATTCTTAAATATTCTACGTTGCTAACAAATATATATTTAATTCCCGGGATATTGATTCTCGCATAATTATATAAGTCAATAAGAGTTATTATAGGATTTTCATGAGGACGTTGCAGGCTTGCTCTAGCCGCCAGCCTCTTAATAATTCCCCCTAAACTATCGCAAGGAGTTTTGCCATGTGCAGTTGCAAAAAAATGTCATTCTGCCTTGATCCCAAAATCATTAAAATGGTTGTAGAGGTTTACAAAGTTTTTTTTGTTTTTATACTGGGTGACAGCTCCATCAGAAAAATAAAATATTATTGAAATCTTATCAAATCTTTCTTTCAAGAATAGAAATAATTTTATTTGAAATAAATGAAAGGAACAAGTATTGTGTTTGAGACAATCTGATATAATCACGTAACTTAAATGTTTGATGATATCGCCTTCGCGATAATAAATCATAAATGGATGAAGTGTTGCCTGATTATTAGTCCAATGGAAACCCTGAGCCTGATCTTGAACTACAAAAGCGTAGTTCTCTGCAAAATCGGATATTAGATATTCCCCATTCTTCAAATTCGATTTTAATGGCTTAAAAAATGAAGATTGTTCCGAGGAATTAAAATATTTAATTTTTCAATCAAATACTCCACAAATTAGTTGGCGGACTTTGTTAAAGTTTCGAGTGTAGTACAGTCAGCTGCCAACCATTGTTTAAATGTTATATAACCTAAGGCATTTTTATCAAACATAAGTGTAGTCCTTCTTTTTCCAAAGTGCCGGGACACATTTGGCATTTCCTCAAGTAACAGCAAGGCTGGGGTGGATTGCATAGACTTCGTGCAATGTAATGTTTATAATCTTTTAAGGGAGGAAATGGAAAGTTATGCTGGTTTGCAGTTAACTTATCTAATTTACCACCAATTATAATTAACTTAAAATTAATAGAAGGTAATGTTATAGGGATCGTAGAAGTAAAAGGTAAGATGGGATTTGTTGAATATTTTTTAAATTTTTTCCGGCAAGAACTATTTTGATTAATTGATAAGCTAGAATTCACTTGTATCATCCACTATAAAACACCTCTAAGATCGTAACGTACTGAATGAGATTTTATTCGAAATGGGTTACAGCACTTTACAGGAATTGTAGACATTTAAAATATTATTTTTTTAAATTAATAAATAAATTTAATTTTTAGAAAAATGGTTATGTAAAATTAATCAATAAAAATGACGACTGTTCCTGTTGGAATTTATTTTGAATATTGACTTTATGACAAATATAATTATTTTATTTTAATTAATTATAATTAGATTAAAATAATCTTTAAAATGAAAATATATTTCTGACGATCAAAATAATAATTAATTGTCTGGCAATGAAAAATAAACTTCATCATTCACAGAGTTGCCAGGTCAAATCTCGAATTTAAGAAGAAATTTTGGACGAATATAATCTTTAGGTTGGGGTGAAGAGATTATTGAGCTCACTTTTTATTATCATAGTTGTTACTTTATTACTTAATACAAAATCTTATTATTTATTCCTTATAATGCCTCCAAATTAAGGCGTTTTGCGTTATATTTAAAATAATACAATACAATTTGATGAATGTTGTTTTGAGTTTTTTAACATTTAAAAAATGTAAAATAATAAGATTTTTTAGGATTTTAGTTTTAATGCTATTATTCACCTTTATTGCCCACTTTTTTAAAAAATAATTACTCTATATTTGGTATAATATAGGATTTAAGCCATACTACTTATATTTAAAGTGTAATAACTATTGACCCCGTACTCGTCCCAATCTAGAATTATGCACAAATATTAAGTATAGTGTCTATCTGTAAAAAAAATTTAAAAGAAAAAAAAGAGCAATTCTTATTTTATAGCCATTTCCGGTTTTTGGTAATAGACTTTTTTTTACAAAAAAATTTCTTATGTCATATTAAAGAGCTATTTTAGAGCTATTTAATAAAATTTAAATCATAAATTACTTTTTGAGATATTTAAAATTAAATATAGTGTATTTTGGAATTTCTGCGTTTCTAAAGATGACCATATCTCATGAGGTAAGCTGAGTTGAGAATTAAAATTTTATATTTTTACTAGTTAGTGTATATACTACCATCATACAAATTTTTAAAAAAATCAAAGGGGGTCGGGTTGAATCTTCAGTTGATTTGATATACAACATATTTAAAATTTTTTCCATAATATATAAATTTATATTTAGGCAACGATATTAAAAATGGTTGAGCTTAGAGGATTATTTGTAATATTTTGATCTTGTAATAAAATTTGATCATTAAGCTTAATTTTGACTTGACATTAAAAGTTGGGGACCAATTAAATAATTATAAATAGAAAACAGCCTTAAGAAAACACATTTATAAGATTTTATATTCCAGACAGATACCTTTCTTCGCTTTAAATCGAGTCATAATTTTAGTATATACTTAAAATTTAAGGTATTTAATGACAATCTATTTAGAATCCATACATTCAGGACTCGATCAATTGAAAATGATAAAATTAATATAGAAAGAATTTTGTTTTTTCTCCAATAAATATTTCCTAAACATTTAAATAAATATGATTATTTATTTTTCATAAAGCTAGTGTGCAGCAGTAGGGAAGTTAACCCAATTTTAGGTGGTGTGTATATGAGAGGGGATTATTTCCTAGTCTTTAAGAGGCTGAATATATATAGTTTATATAAATCGATCCTAAATTTTACAATCATTAATTTAATATTATAGCATATTTTAAACTTGTTGATGTCAAGTCTAACAATTCCCGCCATGAAATATGTTTCATTTTATCTTGACACAAAGGCCTCATACCCGGATTTATGCCTAAGAAGTATTCCAGCACCGACTCTAAGGAATCTAACATTGGATGCTATTCAAATTATATAATTAATGCGATTTTTTCTTAATATTAGAAATCATCTAATGTTGTTAAATGGCTTGTTTGAACCAATTTTTTTTAAAAAAAACTCAATATTTCAAGAAATATATAATGCAGGCCTCGAGATATTGCTTATAGATCGACAAATATTTGGACATCTATTAATGAAATCTCGAGGCTTAGGCAATATTTTTCTGGTTAAAATATTAAGTTGGCTGTTTTTAAAAATCGGCTCAAATCGAGCCATTTAACAAAACAAAAATCATCTATATTTTGTTTAAAAGAATATAATTTAAAAATAATGAAATCAAGTAATAACTCATAAATATGATCATTTGCTAAACATACTTGGCCTATGACCCTAAGTAAATATTTCTTCTCGCCGGAGTCAAAGGAAAAGCTCGTTACTTCATAATGCCTGATTTCTGTCACCCTTTAATACCAATATTATTAAATTTAATAGGTAACTATTTTAAAAAAGGTTTATATTTTAATAACAAATATTATGATAATATTAATCATAATGTTAAAGTTAATGTTCATAGTTAAATATTAAGATAATATTAATGATAATGTTAAAGTTAATGTTCATAGTTTAACTTCGTCAGGGGACATATTATAAGATAATATATAACAAATATTGATAAAATCATCGTGAAAATATTTGCTTACTTTACTATACTATATCTTTCCAGTTTAAAATAGGATCATTTGATTGTTTATGAAAAAACATAACAAATAAAATAGTAGTTAGATTGAACCCATATAATATAAGATAAATGATTAAGAATCAAGATTCCAGCTTTAAAATATTATCATGGTATCTAACTACTAATCAATCAATGTAAATACTAAAGTTATTAAAAAAAATTTCAGGATATTTAATTTTTTTAAATTTGTTAAAAATGAGTAAACATTAGATTTCTTTCAATCACATAGCCAGTTTCAACTCCATTTCATTTATTAAATTTAAGATATTCTTTTACCCTTTACAATCGTAACGTGCCGAAACAACATAGTTTCCATCATAACTAGTGCTTTTTCTCATCAAAACATTTCCATATTCTTTTCCCAAGGTTAGAATCGCTTCAGAACCATCTCGCGACAAGTTCGGAAAATACCAACTTAAAAAAGAAGTAAAATAAATTATAAAAAATTCCAAGTACATATATTGGAGGAGGGGAGGAAATTCTACATAATTCAGATTTTCTCATTTAGACTGAGATATTTAAGTGAGGTGCAGAGAACTAAGAAAATATAGAGCATGAATTTCATTGGACTCATAAAATTTTTGACTTTATTCCTTAACACAAATAAGCATAATTATAAAGGATCCTGGATCTCGTATATATCGAACTAGGATCTTCTCTATTTGGATCCAGCCGATTCTATTTAAATAGCCGGTTCGGCTCACAGGTTTCTATTTTAAAATATTTGGTTTAAAAATTAATGTGAATTTACAATTTTCGTATTTTGCAGATACGGAGGTCGAAATTTTAGGCCGGGATTAAAAAACATTCATTTTCAAACATAGTCAGAAATTTTTTTGGGAAATTTTTGGAACAATCAAGATTTATATTGTTGATAATTTTTCACCCAGGCCCAAAATTTTAAAAATTTTGTTATTTTGAATAATTTTGGCTGTATTTTGCAAACTTTTTTAAAAGGAAATTGAAAATATGAGCAATGAATATTAAACGTTCCATTATATGATTTTTCAACATTTTCTAATTGTTTAATTAATAGAATTTAAATGGACCGACGACCCAGAATATATTTTTTTTAATTTTTAAGCCAGGCCTAGATTTTTAAATCATACCATTTTTTGAGGATTCTATCTTATAAAATATTAGCGATTTGAATGCACAAATCTTCGCTAGACAAAAAATGTTTTTAGAACGGCTTCAACAAGGTATTACAAACGTTTTTTAAAATATATTTTTATTTGGTTAAATAATCGGATAAATGAACATAGGTAAGGTATATGGTATAACTATATATAATATATATTTAATGAAATTTTCAGATAAAAAATTAGTCAACCCCTATAACCATTTATCCCTAACCTCCCCTACGTAATTTATAAATCATAAAAAATTTTCACTATAATAAAAATAATTATTTTTCTATATATAAAATATACTACTGAGCAATACAAATTAAGATAATTTCAAGATTCTCTTCTGTCAAATTTTATTAAGAAGAAATAATTTTTTTTAATGATTAAATACTTTTAAACGCTAACTTGGGTAACTGGCGCCATCAAATACCAATATTCAATAATATTGAATAATGACAACTAATAAATAGAAAATATTTAATAATAATATTTAAAATAGTTAGTCTGTTAAAAAGGTTCTAACTAATTCACAGACCTTTTTAAAGGTTCAGTTAAGGTTCTGGTAAAAAAAGTTAACGAGATTTATTTTGGGTTGGGAAAATATTAATAAGGATTAATACAATTTTAACGATTTCCTTAGGCTTGTGAATCCCTTATTTTAGTGTTGTAAACGGCTCGATTTAAGTCGATTTTTAAAAACGGCTAACTCAATATTTTAGCCAGAATAATATTGTTTTAGCCTCGAGATTTCGCTAATAGATGTCCAAACCTTTGTTCCATCTATGGGAGAAATCTTCAGGCTTAAGTAATATTTTTCAGAATAAAATATTGAATTGGCCGTTTTTAAAAATTGGCTCAAAACGAGCCGTTTACAACACTACCTGATTTATATCATGAAATCTGCCAACAAGGCCTATTCAAAAATAAACACAGATTGAATAGTGCACTTCAATTTACTATTCGCATTGAATCCGAATTAATCGAGTAATTTGTTTTTTATATTGTAAGTATGTTATTTAGTTTAAAATTCGGTTTCTTTACCGACTGTCTTTGAATTTAAAAATATTGGAGCACATTGATTTGAACAATATGATTAGAATTTTTACAGTTGTTTTTAAAGTTTTTATAATTGATTTTTAAAGTATTAATAAGTGTTTATGTTAAGAATTCTGCATCAAGATTACCAGCTTTTTGAAAGAATATTAATATTTCTAAAATAAATGATAAAATTTTACTTGAAATTAAAATATATTTAGCAGTAAAGTTGCTACAAGTGCAAATAATTTATTAAACCTTACTCTTCATAGAAATATGTTTTTAGATTATACAAAGTCTAAAAAATATATAAATGATTTTAGAGTACTTATTAACGATAATGAAAGAAAATTTTTCGAGTGTGTTGAAAAAAATAAAATGCTAATCACCATTCCTGTTAGTGTTTGTTCTTCAGAATGATCATTTTCAAAACTTGTGATCTACATGAAACAACAACGACTAAATTACATTATAAAAAATTTAACTAAGGAAAAGCAGTAACTTGATATAAAAGCCATAATGAGTATGTTTATTAATAAAAATAAAATTAGACGAAGAATATATTATACTAGTCGTTAGCTCTTCAAGAAAGACAAAGAATCAGAATTCTCCTGTGTTTGATGATGGATGAATAAGAGATTTCCGCTTTATTTGATGATGTATATATCAGAAATCAGCTACCTTATGAAATATGAATCCGACATTAATCTGTATTTTGATGAGAGTTAATTCCAAAATTTGCATTATTTTTTATAAAATATGATAATGAAGTATATATTTAATACCTTCACAAAACATTAAAAATATCGATATTTTGGGTTGGTATAAATAATCCTAAACCCAAAGATCTAGGCCCATCCACTTAGAGTGATAATTACCATCACAATCGAAAGGTGTTTTAATATTTTGTGCTAGTAAAAATCCCCACCCCCACCCCCACCCCAGATCTAGATTTGACTACTTAAAGTGATAGTTATTATTATAATCAAAAGACATTTAATTACCTTTTATTAGATTCCCATATCATTTTGTTTTTTGTTTTGATAAAAATATTCCTGATCCCCTCTAGACTAAGTCCAACCCATTAAGACCAAGAGTGAATACCATTATTTTAGTCAAAATATATTTCAATTAGCTTTTATTGATACCCATATCAAATTTTCATTTTTAATTCCCCTCCCCAACCAAGTCAAACCCATGACCAAGAGTGAATTTCAGTCAGAAGATATTTAAATTAGCTTTTATTTTATATCCATATTAATATTTTGCGTTGATTAAAATAAAAATATTACTAACTTCTTAGCTTAGACTTGCTCATAGGGGGGAGGGGGTTGACCTCCTGCTAGATAGATCTTTCGATTAGCTATCGATTGTTACATATATTGGGCTTATATACTTCATAAGGCCAAAAAAGATAACTTATAAATAAATAACAATAAAAGTTGAGAACCCATTAGGGCATGTGAAGGCATAGCCCTAAGCTGCTGCGACAAATGTTCAGTTATCGTATTTAGTGATAAGTTTGATTCCAAATTCGAGTATTATTAACTTTGTCACAAAATATGACAAAAAGATGTGACAAGCCTTTTATTATCTAAGAGTTACTATATCGTCTCAAAATAAATATATAATAAAAAATATTAATTGGTCATATATGCTTTATAATTGAATTCTATTTATACATATCAAAAATAATGTAATAAGAAAAATATTACTGAGAAAAATATCACAGGAAAAAACCCCACCAAATCTCAGAAATAAAAAATCCAGAAATACTAACTACAAGAAAATTGAAAAAACCGGCCCATCAATAAAATCAAATTTTTTTTCTCAAAGCCAACTTCTTTGAGGAGGGTAAGATAATGGTTAATTAGAGCCATATATGTAGGGTTAAAAAATAATGAAACAAATATTTTATAATAAAATATTAAGGTTAAGTATCCAAATTATAATTACAAAATTAGATATGGAATATCATAACTCTTTTCTGACTTTCTCCTATGTTAATCTACAGGGAATAAATAAATAAAAAAGTTATAAAAAATTAATTATAAAATTTTTACAATTATATTCATATTCTGTTGTAAATTAAACCTCTACTTTTATATAAAAAAAAATATACAAATTAAATTTTTAAAAATGTTATGCTACATCTTACGGAAATTTTCTTATTACTTTATTTTCTTATTATATATTATTACAAAAATTATTTAATATATATTAATTTTTTACATTCATTTATATATAAATTTTTATTTTTATATTATATGATTTTGGAAAATTTTATATCTTAAAAATTTATATTTATATGCCATTTAAATAAAAAAAATTCATAAATAATGTTAAAATTATTATAAATATAGCCTTATTAAAATGAATGTTTTATCATTGCAAATGGCGATTATTTTAAAGATGTTTTTTTTAATCGTTGAGCAGTCTATATTAATATAAGTCTATGCCTATGTTATTAGCGGCAATGTGTTTTTTCCAGAAATGTTTTCAACTTTAAATCATTTTTGAAGTCTTATTTTTAAATTTAAAAATCAAAACTAATATAAACTCTAAGTTCAAAGGTTCAATGGCAAAATTATATGAAATTGATAGAGTAGATATTCCAAAAACGGTGAAATACATTTCTGGTAAATTCTGATTCCTGAATTTTAAAAAAATGTGTTCAATTAATGGTTGAAAAAATAACATATTGCCGCTAACACCTATACCAATCTCATGACTATCATGGTGTAAAGATAAAGACCTTTTCTTACCTATTTTTTTGGTTTGATAAATTGTCTATGTATCAAGATCCAGGAATACTATAAACTCCCTCAAAGTATGCTAATTATGGTGTAATTAAATTTAGCTATTATTAACCTGAGAGTTGAATAAAATGTTAAAAATGGAAAATTTATTCACTCTGCCTACACTTAATTTATAATTTCGATGACTTTAAAAAATTTATAATTGATTAATTTTCGTAAAAGTCATTTAAATTTAAATTAATAAAAAAAATATATTTGAATTTAATTCAACACAATCCATTTTTACCAGTAACATGAGCTATAGATATTTAAAAATCTTTAAAAAAAACATCAAATAGGAATAAAAATACTTTAATCACTTTGAATATCCTTCATAGTTTCAACACAAATAGACAGCATTATTTATCAAGAAGATATTCCCCCTTCACTTTTTATTAATGTTTACCCAATAATGCTTGGAATACCCTCCCCCCCCCCCACTCCCAAATCATCATAACAATAAAGTATATAAAATAGTGAACAAGCTATAAGAAATAAACAAAAATATTTAATTAAATAAATTAATTGAATCACATGCGCAATAATATTTTGACTTATTTAAATAAATTATGAAGACTTGTGTAATTATTTTAAAAAGTTGGTGATTCTCCATACTTTTAAGAGCTTGAAAACCCCTATCCCATAATTACAACACTACGCCAAAATCAAGTGTTAAAAACAACAGGTTGGCTAACTATAAAATATTTAATTACAAACCTACTTGCTTTGTTCTTTTACTCTGTTTTACAGTACGTACGAATCGTTGGCATCAAGTTTTAGTGTGAATAAACAGTAACTAGTAATATTATACATCGAAATTAGACTTTATTCTATAGATTTTTCAAATGACTCTAAATTTGATTTGATATATGTAATAAGAGCCTTACCAGAAGTTCTCAACTAATTAGAACAGTAAAGCATTCTCAAATTTGAGGCTATGAAACTTTTTGAGAGCAATTGGCCTCGAACTAATACATAATATTAATGGTGCAATAAATGTTTTATAAATATTAAGAAATGTTATAAGAGATGTATATATCAGCAATAATATAATTAGTTATAAGTAAAAAATTACATAAGAATGACTGAAGAAATATTAATATGTTGGAATGTTCTGTATCGTTTTTGACCCTGATTTTATAAAGGTAGGCAATGATCAAAATATAAATAATTTGAAATTCTTATAACGTATATCGATGTTGGGATAGGATCTAATCCTAATATATCAAACAATAGCAGTTGTCATTAAAGCCAACACGTTATATAAATATATTTGGCCCAACATTGTGCTTTTTATCAGGGAATTATTCAACAACCCCTAAGCCAATGCAATTTTATCCCCCTCAAAAATGTTACTCCCTACCTGTTTATATTCTTTTATCTCCAACCGCTTTTTACCCCACCCCCCCCCCCTCCCACCTCTTACTAAATTAAAATTAGTATTAAAAAAAAGAAAATCCAAATAAAAAATAACCCTACCCCTCTCCGATTTAATTTAATGATGATAGCGTAGTCATAACTGCCTATGCTACCCCTTCCCCAGTTTTAATAGCGATCTTGCGTCATATCCTCGTTCTCCCTGGGGTAGCTAATTTTTTTATCATGCAGTTGAGGTGCAGGGTTTAAAATATAAACAAAACATTTATGATGTATATGTTAGCGTCAATTTTTTTCGGGAATGTGTAATTTTTACTTTAAGTCATATTTTGAGCGCTTTTTAAATTTAAAATTTGGGTTTACAGGAAATGTATTCCAGCATGTTTAGAATACCTATTTTATGTGGGCAGATAATTTTACCATTAACTTTGTCATTTATAATTTATATGAAAAATCTATGGAAGAACTAATATAAATTTTAGTAAGTTCAAAAGTTAATGACAAAATTATCTGAACGTGGGTTAGGTATTTCAAGCATGATAAAATACATTTTCGGTGATTTTCAAATTTAAAGAAACGCGCTCAAAAAATGATTTAAAGTTGAAAAAATATCACATTGCCGCTAACATATATATTATATGTTTATTTTTTACTCATGGTCATGGTCATGAATAATAAATAAATCATTTGCAAAAAAATTAACATACACCAAGGGTTAAAATTCCTTAAAAGAAGAAGTCACGTAAGTTTTTTTTTATTTTTGGATCAATAAAATTGGGTTGTAAAATCTTGATTCTATATCTATAATGCACTCAATAAATTGATTATTTAGATTAATGATTCAGTTGATATTATATATAATTTTTTTTTATTATTATCTATTTTAAGAATAATATAATATTGCATAAGTCATTTAAAGGGGCACTAAATAATATCAAAAAATGGGTACTTCTGTAGATTTATAAGAAAGCTAGTATAAGAGTGTTCGCAATTCACAAATTCATTTCGCCTATCAAAATTTGAGGAAAATTTAGAGAATTTTAAGAAATCTCTGCTATCAAAATTAATATTTAAAAATTAAAAGACCATAATTTTTTTCATAATGAAAGGTAAGTATGTTAAAATTAAACTCATATACAACTCAAAAGCATAGTTACAAAATAAAATCATCTGGGAGCTGGGTCTGCTTTTTAAGATGTGTCTGAATATTTAATTCTTTTTTTTTTCAATTAAGATCCTCATTAATATTACCCGGGTTGGGCCTAAAATTTTCTTTTCACATACCTGGCATGGGTCAAATTATTTTAAAATAAAACCAATTAGGATCCCAATGTAAGATCGCTTCAATTTACTAGTTAAAAAATCACATGATGATAGATTTAAACATTCATTTTATTTACCTTCTAAAACCATTTGCAAAATATATTTTTATGATAAATTTTAAATCCAGGTTAGGCCTGAAAATAGTATTTTTTTAAAAACCAAGGGATATAAAAGAAATGTACAAATCCAGACTCAGATTTCTTATTTATATAGAACTATTATTCTATTTAAGAAATAATAACCCATAAAAGTGATATATGATATAACACTATCCAAATTGTATATATAGTAATAAAAAAAAACTAGAGAAGATATAATTTTAAACATTAATTACATTTATAAGGATTTTAAAAAAATATATACATTTTAATATAATTTTAAAAATAAAATATTTACTTGGGAGACTCTGCAGCTATCCTTAAATCATGACAACTAGAAAATTTTTCTTTCTATATTTTTTTGAAAATTTTATTTAAACGGCTTAAAAAAAAGATATGATATATAAAATTAACTTCCATTAAAAAAATACATCCATAAAAATATAAAGGATTGGGCGAGATCTTCAATCTTTTACTGATAATCCCATTTTCAAAAAATAGATAATCCCTTCATCTGTATAAGATAAAAATTGAAATAAATATTAAATATATTACTGGCAATGTACGTAATCAGGCAATATGCGGAGTGTATTGCCTTAGTCAATATGCGTATTATCTTTAAAAATGTCTGATACATAAATGGTCTTATAAGTATTCTACTCATGGAATTTATTCTCGTCTTATTAGTCTTATTCTAAACAGTCGCTCGTTTAGATGTCTATATAGCTTCCTCTAAATAGCTTAAAAAAAAGAGGATATTAAGATTTATCATGTATCTGCTTTATTTGTACCAAAGGAATATATAAATAACAAAATTAATTTTCTTTCTTTTAAATAGGGTATCCTAGCTCAAAATCTGTTTAGTGGGCTAAACAGAAATATGTTTTAAAAAGAAGACGAAACAGGACACTGCCAAATCATTTAAAGTTCAAAATTCAGTTGTTATGTATTTTTAAACTTGATTGATATCGCCTAAAATGTATTGTAGTGTATGCGTAGTATACCTATCCTGTAAAATTTCAGATAATTTAGCCATTAATTTTTGAGTCATTTACAATTCACATTTTGCCAATCACGGATTGACTAAAATATTAATCTGAAAATACACGTGTTTCCCGATTACGGACATTGTCGATAACACACACAGAATATTATTTAATATAGTATTATAAATATATATATATGTAATTTATAAGGCCCATTCTTGTTTTCATAGATTTTACCTGATCGGATTTCAACATGCCACTCGTGCTTGAGGCCATATGGTCAGCGAATAGGTCACTGGCAACTTTATTGACGACTCTAGTGGATGAGGGCGAATATCTATTAGATGACATCGCCATATTATCAGACCCCAAGTTACAATAGTTGTTTGTCTTTCGAACCATATTTTTAGAAAATTGATTCTTGCCCACGAATATACCCGCTCTTATTATGTGATCCAAGTTATTTATCTCGCTATCCTCATCCAATAAAACGAAACTTTTATTATTATTATTGTTGGTTATCACTGCGGGATGACAATTTTTGGAAGAAATTTTAGGCGAAGAGTGAGATATTTTGGGTTCTTTCTCCGCTTTGCAATGACGAATAGGGGGTGACATGGAACCGTTTAGCACTATGGAGGACCTAGCACCCGGATAATTGTTGATTAAATGATTGGAACAATTGATGTCATTGGAATTGATCGAAGACATCGGATCGGCATGATTCAAAGTTTTGATCACATCGAATTTGCTTTGGAGTTTTTGTTGAAGTAACAATTTTCGCTGACAAAATGCGGCAGACATATTTTTTATTAAAATATTGTCAATTAAAGTTCCTTTTATTTTCAAACGAATTGGATAAGATTGGAGATGGGGCGATTATATCTGGAAGCATTTTTGTTCTATTGCTAAAATTAATGGATGTAATATAATTCTCCCTCTAAAAAAATATCTCAGAAATTTGAAATATGATGTCCTGAATACATTTTCGTTAAATATTTGATTTCTTAATTAAAAATAATTAAATATCCTTTTTTTATGAATAATTTTTTTAAAATATAAAATGCAAAAAGTGAATTGCGAAGTGTCATATCTCAAATGTGCTATCGAATGATATAATAATAAAGAGAAGATATTCATAAAAATAATAATAATTGTGTTTTATCGTTAATTGTTTAATTTATATTATAAAAGAGAAGTATTGTTGTCACACATTTTTTTCATCCATTTTTGGTTCACATGAAATAATTTTTAAAATATAATTATGAAGTAATATTTAAAAAAAAATTTTCTGAATAAAAAAAAATTAATAAAAAAAATGATATATTAGTTTCATCATTTTAATCCTTTACTTGATGGATCCAGTTAAACATTATTTATATTTTTTCCCTAAGCCTGTTTTAAAAAAGGATATTATTTTATAATAAGCTTGGTTTAAAAACGGCTAGCCCAATATTTGAGCCAAAAAATATTAGCAGGTCTAGAGATTCTGCTCATAGACGGCAGAGATGTTTATTAACAAAATCTCGAGGCTTGCGTAATATTATTTTGGCTAAGATCTAATTTAAAATTGGCAAAATCAAGCCTACCAACAACACCTATCTGGTGTTGTTTTATATGGATCAGTTACTGATTTTTTTGTTGATATATAGATCATAAGATAAAATTTATAACTTAATATTATTATTGCGTGAAATCGGTTTTTTCTTTAAGATGGCTAAAGAATCGAGAGTATTTATATTATAAGGAAGTGAGAAAGTAAGGTAGTGCCAGAAATGCTCTCTTTTCAATATCATAAACTTACTCGGGTTCTGGATATGCACATCTCTGAATATTCTATAGTATAAAAAATCTTTTTTTGTGAGTTGACATTATATCTAGGTTTCTAACATTGAAATTAATTTTATATATTCACTTCCCTTCATTTAATATAAGAAAAATAAACTTTTTTTTTCTCTATTTCAATTTTATTGTTGAAAAAATCATAAGTATAATTTTAAATAAACCATTGGGATTGGTATTATCTTCCTTTTGCTAAGACATTTTAATTAATTTTTCACAAATTTTTTTTTAACCTGACTCAAAAAAAAAACAATTTTAATAATATTTATTTATTTTTGTTTTATCATTTCTTATAATTTCATTTCGTTTAACTACGAACGAGATATAATATTTATAAATGTCAACATTCATTGATTTGTAGGGGAAAAAATGCTTTAAATCCATGAATGTGTTTAAAAAAAATGAGAAATATTTTATGGGAATATAAAGTGAAGGTTAAAGCAAAAATTTTGACTTTCTGTCTCCATTGTCTTCCTAAACAGAGAGACTCAGATTCACCACACCATTAACAAAAATTGGTATTTTTCTATTTATAATAATAATTTTTTGTTTCATAACCTATATGTGCAATAAATATAATAAAGTCAGTATAACAAAATGTTTATTTTATTTTCGTTTCTTCTCAATTAAAAGAGTAGGCATTGTTTTCCATGTAAAAACCATTTTAAAAAAAATTTAAATATAATTTTAGTTAATTTAAAAAATATATTATAATAATAAAATGTGAAGAATAGAACAACAATCCAGGATAATAAGACCAATTTTTTTTAGATAAATTTGACATTTTATATATCATCGCATTATTTGGAATGTTAGTAATTAAAATTAATATTTTCTTGAAATTTCTATAATTATATTATATAATATTATATTATTTCTTTAATAATTAATTGTTTTTAACTATAGGTCAAATTTCCATAATTAAGAAGAAGAACAAGTAAAATATATTAAATTAAATAAAGGAAAATATTTTGTGCAATATTGATATAAATATAAGTAAGCATAGAACGAGAGAAGGGTGACGAGTTGACAAAAAAGGGTAGAGTTATTGCGAGAATTGCCATAATAATAAGAAGGAAAAAATTGTCACTTCTTTCGAAAATTTTATCAATTAAATTTGAGATTAAATTAATTTCCTATAAATAATATTCACTATTCATTTGTAAATTCTTGATTTTTTATAATAAATAATAGAAGATTATTTAATTTAATTTACTGCGGTCCAAAAATAAATACCATGATTTTGGGGAGTTTATTTCAAGGATGTGAACCCGGACCCTGACCCTGAACCCTCGTATTTTGGCTGAACCCGAACCCGGAGCTGGAATTAAAAGTGAAGGGTCCAAGGGTTCTAGGTGTCATAAAAAATTTTAAAAACAAAAATATTTTTTTAAAAAATAATATAAATTTTTTTAAATTTTATTAACTTATTTTGTGGAATCATTTATTTTATCTTCGCGTTTTTCTTCCAATTTTCTTCCTGGACTTCCATTTTATTTAGAGATTGATATCATAAATTATTTTCCAGTGTAATAATATTTTATTATGTAAATTAAATTTATTAATATGCTATGTTATAGAAATACGTTGATTATTTTGAAAGTGAATTATTTTGTAGTATACAAGTAATAATATTTTAATTTAAATGATAATGCACAACACGTTGGTCCTCAATTTGTATTATGCTAGAACGATTATTAAGTTTGAAAGATTTCTGTAATGATTTTATTATAGGAGGATGTGATGTCATTTTGTCGGAAGATGATTGGTGACAAATAAAGGACCTTACTGGTGTATTAGTTCCTTTAAAAATAACAATATTAAGATTAAAATCAGAACAATTATGTTAATCTGATTTTTATGGATATCGATTAGATTTAGGAAAATTTACAGTTCTTTTTATACGAAATATTAGAAATCGTAAAAATTCGAGAGCAACAATATTTGCAAAATAATGTTTTATAAGCTTCTATATACTTAGACCCTCGATATCAAGTTTTATTGAGCACTGAGCAATGGCTAAAGACCATCTTAAGGATTTATGGCATAAGCAAAACTCCATTATTTACAATATATTGGAGGCTACGACAATACCTATTGGTTGTAGTGATAATAATAATAATGATAGCAACATCGATGATCTTGAAATTTTACTTTTAGATAGAGAAAAAAAAATCAAATTATCATCAGATAGAAAGGAGGATCAAAAAAAGCCTATTGCATCTTTAATAGTAAAGTTCTCAGAAGTTAAGATAATAAATAAGGATATAAATATTTTAAAATTCTGGGAAGAAAATTCTTCAATTTATTTAGAATTATATATCTTATCTATGGCTGTACCGGCGACACAAGTACAATAATTTTATAAGGATAACTATCTATTTTAGATAAGGGTAGAACGTGAATTTTCATCTTTTAAATATATATTGTCTACTTTACGTGGAAATCTCAAGGATGATATTTTAAAAGATATTATGATTGTGAGAGAATAAATCATTTAAAATATAAATTATTTCATTTTAAAATTTTTCATTTGTAAATTATGAATATATTAAAGTATAATAATAAATGAATTTTAAAAAAATATTCTTTTGAGTGATTATTTTTATGTTCACTGAACTCGGACCCGAACCCTGGACCCGGGCCCTTTCAAATTTTATTCCTGTACCCGAACCCGGACCTGGACTTTTTTTTTGTCGAAGGGTTCACATCCCTGGTTTATTTCATCAACTTGATAATATGCAATCAATTTAAAACTGACTCGGAATTTTTTTTAAAAAAATGAGAAAGGCTTAACGATATTCAATTAACGTATCCATAGATTGAGTTAATTCAAAAGTTACCATAATATTTTTGATAATGACTAATTATCCCAAACCATGGAAATGTCTGAACAACAATTTTTTTAAAATAACTGGTGTGAAGTTCTAATAAAACAAATTTTATTATATATCTGAAGAGTATATATATTTCCCAATTACTCCATAAGTTAATTAGTATATTCTGCGTTGTACTGTGATTGTCAATATTTCAGAGTAGAAAAATAATATTGATTAATGAAAATGACATAATTATTTTCAAAAAATATTATATAAATTCAACCGTCAATCAAGGGAGACCTGGGCAATTTGGGACAATTTTTATTCAATCCTAAATAAGTTCTATACTATTAATCAGGATTAGCAAGCCAATCAATTAACCAGTCAAATAAGGTCAATTGACTGTAAGTATCTTTGACCTCATATATGGTCAAATACTCTAAAATGTTTTTTAAGCAATATACCGTTTCATATCACCAAAAATCCCTATAAAAAGAGTTTTTTGAAGGAATACTTATTTATAATAACTTAGGGGAGACCGGGGTTATGTAGAATATTAAAAAGCAAACCTTAATAAAATTAAAGGTACTATATCATTAACAAACAATATCTCATTTTGTTCACCTCTATTAATTTATGGTAAGTTTAAATTTCAAAAATATATATCTAATAATCTTTTCAAAATTTTATTTTTCTGGAATTTTTTTTGGGAACTAATGAACCCTACCCGGAAACGAGCCTTTTCTCGGGGCTATTATAAGATCTGCTTAATTTTCCACATAAAAGTTATATATATTTTTATTATTTTCAGTGGCATAGGCATGGGGGGGGGGGGAGAATTTTCTCATGAAAAATGAAAAAAGAAAAATTTTATTTTTCTAATTTGATAACAAATGTTTGAAATTTAAAAAAACAACTATTTTTATGTTTTTAATTTATTATAAATATAATTGATCTACAGTATGTAATTATTTTTATATTTTTTAAAATAAATTTTAAATTATATGCATTGTATAAAACTTGTCTAGTTTGTCATATTCAATTTTATAAAGATATATATTTGTCAATATGAAAAAACAATCATTAATTTATTCCTATTTCAACAAATGTCAAGCACAGACACAAACTATACCTACTACTACGATTGAGAATTTTTATAAAATAAACATTTTTATTGCCCTTATTGATACATTTTTATTTCAATCAAAGAAAAGATTTATTAGACATAATTTTATTTTAAAAAGCTTTTATTTTCTTTTGCCGGTTGAGTCTAAACTTTGATTACACTTAAAACACTAGAGGATATTAAGAAAATATCAGAGTTTTACGCTGATGATTTAGTAGGCTCATATGATAAGTTA